CCCTGGGAGCGTCGCCTTTCCCGACCGCTTGGACTTGAGCATCCACAATTTCGGCTATGTTTGGCCAAATAAACTTGCCTCCTCGCAATGGCGAGATCTTCAAGGGCACTTGCACGATAGGGCAGATCAAGTTGGCGTTTGTCCCCCAGCGGGACAACAGATTAGCCCACACATTAACATCGTCCGCGATGTAGTAGATCGTGCAGTTGTAGCTCATCAGCAGCAACGCCCAGCGGTTCAACTTCGCCGCCGTGTACTTTAGGATGGCGGCGTTGACTGAGGCTGGGTCGAAGATGAACTTCCGGCTGTCGTGATCGGTAAACAACGCGAATCCACCTGTCTTGTGGAGCAGGCAATCTGCCCGTTTCAAGCATACTACGATGGAGAAAGCCTCATTCTCCACGATCACCCATCGCTGCGCCGCTCCCGAAAACGTTCCACTCAGGAACATGAGCGGCTCATGGTCTTGAGCCTCAGCTCACGATCAACATGATCGTGAGGAATTTGGGTCACCACATCTCCCCAATGGAGGTCACTTGCTTCAGCAAGCACACAGATCAGCCGGTCTTGCTTGGGATGAGCTAACGTCACCACACAACTGAGGGCTTGCTTGCAAGCCGTGAGACACGCTGCATGGGCAGCGCTCCAGCCCACGTCGGCCAAAGTTGCTTTGGCCGACGTGGGACGGGTCCGTCCGCAAGCTGCCTTGTAGACCGACTCCATGAGGTCGGTCATCGGCTGCACGATAACGTTGTATCGTGGTATTGACATTCGCATCCAGTTCATGGCGCAAATAAATATTGCTAAGAACTTGCCTGGTCACTGGCATCTTCAGATCTTGCAACTCCTTGATGCGTTCGGGGTCTTGCTTGACGCCGTCGGAAGAGAGAATGCGCCAGAACCAGCGGGATTCGATCTCATAGAACCGACATTTCTTTGGGTTCAGCTTGATGCCGCGCTGATGGCCGTTAGAAGCCCTTCTTTGGTCTACTCGTATCCAAGGACAACGTCCAACCAGATCAACAGCGACTTGTAGAGTTCAGTCGCGAACATTTCTTGGACCGACGACTGGCAGTAGGCTAAACTGTCGGTCCCGCCCATCAACACACGCGTCGGCGTGTAGACGCCCGTGTCCGTGAATACAAGAACATCTACTACGACCCCTTGTCCAGCGCGAATTGCCAGTACTCCTTGAAGAAATTTAGGGAGAAAAAGACCTCCGCACCGGCCAGGTGATCCACGATCACCTCGAGCATCGGCATAGGCCAGATGATACGCTCCGTCGGAGCCTTGACTGGCCTCACGTCCACCG